CAGCGGCCAGGCACCAGTTCAGGACCTCGACAGCCTCCTTAGTAGCAGGTGGAAAGGAGTGACAGAGTTAGACGTCATCCGCGTACAGATGACACCGCACCCCGAAACTCCGGATGATCTCACCCAGCGGCTTCATGTAGATATTAAACAGCATGGGGGACAGTATAGAGCCCTGTGGAACCCCACAAGTCAAAGGCTGTGGCGTTGAACAGGTGTCCCCCAATAACACCTTCTGGGTGCGACCCTCCAGAAATGACCGGAGCCACTGTAGAAGTTTTTGTAGTAGTTTTGTAAGTACTTTAAAACCATTTAGAACCATGGATTGCCCAAGCCTAATAAATAGCCTGGAAACCAAACTGTTTAGGGTTTCATAGGTCTCAACCTTTTTCATGAATTAAACCCCCGTGGGTCCTGTTTGTCTCTCCAACCATTGAGAAGTACAACATAAATGTCGCAGTTCTATAGGGTCTAGCATATACTTGATTCTGGAAAAAATAATATGGAGAATTAGTATAATATCCTACATATTTTAAAAGACCATACAAAATACTCCCCCCCCCCCCCAAAAAAAAACCGAGATTTTTTCTGTGGTCTTTTTTTTCCTCCAGTAGAGAATAATTTGGAGCAAATCTCTTTTGAGGTGGGGAAGTCACTATAATTTCTATGTGTTTTAGTTGTATGAAAAGGTGCCTTTGTTTTATAGTCTTGATATGTTTGTATGCTATCTACAGCATTTTATTGGTACTTTGGGTTAGATGTAAATACCTTACATTTTTCATAATGGGTTTGCATTCCTGTCTTTACGATCTGAAGCTCATAATACTTTCCGCTCTGTGTATCTGTGTTTTTTGGACCTGCCTTTTTAAACTGCTTTCCTATTTGAAAGCAATGAAATAGAAACCGGGGATAAGAAGGCAAATGTTCTCTGTATGATGGATTGGGGTTCAAATGTTGATCAGAATCGAGTCGCTTGGTACAAAAAGGTTTCATTTGCTGTCACATGTTCATTTGTTACGATTTGGTATCTTACATACTTACTTACTTACTTCTTACTTACTTAGGCGATTCCTCGTTGGACGAGTAAGATGGTCTTCCATTATGCGTTTCCTTGTGAGTTCGTAGGTGGCTGTGGAGCCCTATTCTTGACCCGCATCTTCTCCCACAGTGAGGGCATTGGTTTCCAGGTGGAAGGCGGTCCCGGTCGGGGTTGGCTTGACACGCCTTTCTCCTGGCACGTTTCTCTCTTTCACCCTCCACTCGTGCCTCCTCTAATTCTGCAGCACTGCTGGTCACAGCTGACCTCCAGCTGGAGCGCTCAAGGGCCAGGGCTTCCCAGTTCTCAGTGTCTATGCCAGAGTTTTTAAAGTTGGCTTTGAGCCCTTCTTTCAATCTCTTTTCCTGTCCTCCAACATTCTGTTTTCCGTTCTTAAGTTCAGAGTAGAGCAGCTGCTTTGGGAGACGGTGGTCAGGCATCCGG